ATCATGCTGTGGTATTTCCTCCTTGAGAGGAGGGAGTTGAGACATCACAGTTTGAGTAGTTGGACTATATTGACTAAAGAGACTATTTCAAAAGGTGTTTTGTCCATGAAGGAACCACTGAACTTGAAAGTTTGGGGCTTTGAGGGCATGAGGCCTGGCTGTTGTGACTCTCCCTCTGAAGGAGCTAACCACAGTTGTGTTGGGAACAGAGCATGGTGGGAGGAGGGATCTGTCAGGCCTGGTCTGGGCTCTTCAGAACACTTGGCAAGTTAAAACTGACAGTTCAAACCTAACCTGAAAGCTGCAAATGGGTGACTGAAGATCAGGGAGCACTGGTAAATACAAACACTGAGGAGTTCTACCAAATGGCCTCTGTTTTAAATGTTTCCACTTCAACATGTGGGCCATTTTAGAAGGTAGCCTATTAATATTCTGAGTTTATAAAGTACAATCACTTAATGAGATAATATGGTTAGAAAGCTCTAAATTACCATAGAGGTAAAGTCCTGTTTGCTCTGGAAGGTGTTGAGAGCAGGATTTCACTTGGGAAGAGTCAGAAGCAATTTGGTTTTGGAGTAAAAGTCACCCTGGTTGTAGCTAACACGTATTGATCGAGAGTGTCAGATACAACTTAGCTCCTGTCTTTGAAGAATAATGAGTCAATATGAGAGTCCCTACAAAAAGTGACAAAAAACACAAAGTAGCAAAACTTCCTACTAGCTATAGTGAGTTGTTGAGCTAACAGTTAAGGACATTAAAAACAATTGGTAGAGATTAGTAGTGTTAATACTGATATTGAAGTAACTTAATGTTATTGATACTCAAGAGCAAGGGTTTAAACTTCTTGTCACCATAATCTATTTTAATAAAGTTCTACTGAAAAATGTTATGGGAACTTGGAGTTTTAGGTTTCTGTTTATGACTCCTAAAATCAATTTATTCTATGCACCAGATTGTCTTGATTTTGTTTGTTGATAGTCTTGTGCTAGCAGAGGATCAGGTAACTTGACTGAGTTTTTTCAAGAGGTAAAGATACAGTTCCAGAGCACAGCTGTGGCCCAAGTTTTCCCAGCAAAATTTACATTGTTAGTGAAGTGTTTCCTGTAACTCATGCCAACAAACCAACCAACCAAAGCTGGTCTCTTCTCTCAAGTAACAAGTGACAGGACAGGAGGAAACGGCCTCAAGTTGCATCAGGGGAGTTTTAAGTTGGACCTGAGGAACCATTTCTTCACTGAAAGGGTGGTGGACAGGCTGCCCAGGGAGATGGTTGAATTACCATCCCTGGATGTGTTTAGGAGTTGTGTAGGTGTGGTGCCTGGGGACGTGGTTTAGGGGTGGACTTGGTTGAGTTAGGTTAATGGTCAAACTCGATGATCTTAAAGGTCTTTTCCAGATGGGACGATTCTGTGATTCTGTGAATGCTTTCTGGTTTAAGCTGCAGCAATGAATCACTTTGACTCAAACCAGTGTAACTTTTATCCAGAAAGAAGCCTGGAATTTCCATAAAATGTAAGGAATATGCATTAGCCATTGCGTTGGTCTTGATATATGAAGATATGCACCACATTAAATATAAATGGGGGGAGAGGGAGATGTGGGGTGAACTGGTGGAAAGAAAGGAATGTTACTTTCAACAGTAGTTGAAAGATTAAATAAATCTTAGATATGTATCTACATTAACTTCGACACAGGACTAATACTTTCTATTTATCTTAATTAACACATAATTTGCAGGAGTTGATCCATACACTGTTGGATTTCTAAGAATTAAGATGGAGAGGATGAACTGTGGAATGATTTTGTGTAGTACTGATGCCAAGTGTCTGCTAAAGTGTTCTAAGTGCTCAGGTGCTGTTAGTGTCTGTTAGTGTGTCGTTTGAGAGGTGAATTATTTCGTGCTGTGAGGAGAAATGCTGATATTTTGGAGCAAAGTCCAGGTATGAGTATGATGAAACCCCACAGTTCCAGATCTTGCCCTGATGTTCTGCCTTCAGATTCCAAAAATGTATTTTCATTTAATGAAACAAAACACAAAGCTCATGTGTGTTTGTTGTATGCAAGTCCCAGCAGTGAAATACTGTCCAGCAGAACGTGAAGGTGTAGATTCCAAAAATGTATTTTCATTTAATCAAATAAAACACAAAGCTCTTGTGTTTGTTGTATGCAAGTCCCAGAAAGAAATACTGTCCAGCAGAACATGAAGGTGGCAGTGCTGACAAAGGTGTGGAGCTGAGGAGTTGTGTCCTAAGAAATCTTGAGCTCTAATTGCCTTTTTCCCCCCTCCACCTCCACACAGATATCTTTGGCACTGATTAGTTTTATTGTTTTTCAATAATTTGTTTTTGTGTTCATTTCCCATTTGTAGTATTGGGGTAGTTATAATTTCTCTTACAAGTGTGTGAAGATTTATGTTTACATGCCATTATGAAGACATAGTGCTGTGCAAAAGTTTTTGTTCTTAGAAGATCTAAGGTAAAATGTAAAGTCTGAGCTTTCAGGGAATTTTGAATTCTTGTGGTTGCACGCTAATTTTTGTGTTGATACTAAAACAAGAGCTATTACAATATCCAGGAAACTCCAGTGCCCTCTGTTCTCAGTGCTCTAAAGGGAGAGTGATCTCAAATGTGTGGCTGTAGAAATGCTGCTGAAGATGATGAAAAAGCCTGGAGATAATCCGATAGTCATTAAGATTAAAGATGAAGATTAAGGGCCCAAATCGGCCTTTTGGAGATATGAATGTAGAAATAGGAGACTTCAGCTGATCTCGGTGTGCCATCAGGTCAGCAGGATTTATCCTGGATTTTCTCTTCTGATTTTTAACAAATTTGAATGAATTCCCTTTGGAAAGGAGTTCAGTTCTGCACATATACAAACCATAATCATTTTTAGCCCATTTAGTTCTTTTGCAGCTGCAGATTGGCTGAATACATCCAAGGTGACCTCTTGGTCAATAGCTTTTAGCTAATATATTCTAAAATGTACTTTTAAGTGTTTATAGTATTTTTAGGAATGTGGTGATGAGCATTTAGGAATGAGACAATTACCCGTGTAAGAATCCATATCCTGATTTTCCTAGATCTATTTTCATATACATGAGAAAAATATGCTGTGCTTACTGTTTTTCTTCTAAAAATGATTGTGTATTATATGATCTGGCTTCCTGTCCCAAAAATGCTTTTTCTACATTATTTCTGTTCGTGCTTAGAAGCCAGGAAATTCTGATAGCAATGAACTGAAGAAAAGAAAAACTGATATCAATATATCTTTTAAAAAAATCTAGCATGCCCAACCCAAAGAAGGCTGTACAAGGCAAACAAAAGTTTGTTTAGGTAACTTACATTTAAGTGAAAAATACCTAAATTTTGTCTTTAGCATATTTGTACAAAGAGCATGTGAGACTACTGAAGTGACAAATCCCATCCTAATAAATGGCACCGTGGAGTAGAGGGAATAGCTCATTTTGGGGTGTTGGTTGGTTACACTGATGTGTTACAGTTCAGTACCTGGATAGAAATGTTTGAATCACACAGTGCATTGATGATCTTGTTGGCAACAGCATCTCCTTTCCCTGGGTACTTGGTTGTGTCCACTACAGTATTACTTGTGTCAGCAAGTCACTGCTCTCTGTGCCTTTGACTGCTGAGCTCTCTGCCTGGGCGTGTTGTCACTGCATTCTGTTACACTGCTGTCCCACCACTCAGGGTTGTTCTCAGTTGCCATAGCGTTCTTGGAAGGTTCTGGGTGGCTTGTTTGGCTGGTTGGTTTTTATTCCTTCTGATTTTCAGCAGTGGTGGCTCTGGTAAGTATGTTCTGTATCCTATTGTCTACATCATTAATGACAGTGACTTTAACGAGACCCAGCAGACAAACACACAGCCTTGCAGGAGCCTCCAGCTTGACAGTGAGAGAAATTGGTAGTTTCTTGTCAGAGTTCAGTATTGCAGCCAGCTGCATGGTTAGCTATCTTACAGCAGCATCATTAAACAAGACAATAATATAATTAAATATCAAAAGTTGCATTGTGCAACTGTATCAAGTATCTCTGCAAAAGTTAAGAAGTGTCACATCCATCCCTTACGAATCCTCTGAGCCTTTTACAGGGCGTCTGGGGGAGTTGCTTTGATTCAGCATTGTTTTCCTTGAAAAATCACAATGAATGGTTGTCACACTGTCTTGTCTGTGGTTAATAACTTGGTATGTTATGTGGTACTGGAGAAGGGTGACTCATCTGCATTTCTTCAGATCTTTCTACTTTGTGAAGTATAAAGCATTGATTTCCTCTCTGAAGCCAAGATAAACCAGAGAAAAAGCTGATATATGTGAGAGTACATGACAAAAACACCAGTTAATAATCCCTTCGACAGATTTCACTCACCTGGCAATAAGTTTAAAATAATTTAGTGTGTGTTAGCATGATGTACTTCATCTTCCTCATTGTTCTGAGAGTTAAAACTTAGGTTTTGGGTTTGTGCCCCATGATAGTAAATAGCATTGTATAGTTTTTCAGTCTGTAGACATTCATTAATGTAGCCAGTCTGAATTCTGTTATTGTAATTGTCTGCATCAGTGAGAATGATTCCTGGTGTCTGAGGTGTGTGCTGGAATATTTATGTTACAGCTGTTCTGCTCTCTGTGTTCCACCAGGGCTGCATGGGGCTGCTGGGGAGAGGTGCAGAGCTGCACAGACTTTCCTCTTCCATTCATTCTCTGGTGACTGCTGTGGGTGCCCCCAATTACATCCTGCACTAATAGCCAGAAAGGGTGTTAATCTGAGTAGCAGTGTCAGAGACAGATGGCTCAAGTTATTTCTTCCTGCTTTTGGCAGTCACTTCAACAACTTCTTATTTACTTGTGGAGGGGGAAAAAAAAGGCATGGTAACCAAGATAAGAAGTTGTTATGGTGGCACATTAAAACTGTATCATTTGTTTTATAGAGAGAGCTTTAAAGATTAATGTTCACTGTGTTTAATTTCCTTTTTTTTTTTTTCCAGTAATCCAAAGTCTGCTAATCAGAGGATAAACAAAAAAGTAAATAATGATGCATCATTAAGGATTCAAAATTTATCTATTTTGGTGAAACAAATAAAAACTTATTATCAGGTCAGTAATTCTTTCTCATGTTAAGTCTTGCCTAGAATTTTTTCTAAGTATTCTTTTACAGGTATGTCTTTAAGGGTAACAAAAAAAAAATTAATGTTTTGAGATACTTTGTGGATGGCTGTTTAAATGGTCAACTTTTTTTATCAAGCTTGATTTACACTTATAGTGGTAGTCTGGAAACACCTGAATGTGAGTGATGAGCTGTTAATATAATAGGTATTCTGCACGTTTGATTACTCATAGTACATTAAGCAGTATTGCTGGCTGTTTTTTGAGTTGAAGCAAGTTTTGTGCCTGAGAGAAATTATTACATGTGGATTTAGTCTTGTCAATGGAATCTTCATAAGAAGGTGTTGAAATTTATTTGCTTTAGAACTAATCTGATATTCAGTAAGAAAAAAATTGCTGAGGTGATAATAGTCAAATGGGAGTTCATAATAGATGCATTAATGATCTAATATAGAGCTGTAAAATAGCCCCTGAATTTGTGTGTGATTTGTGCAGCAGGTAAGAGCTGGTACTGTGCCTTCTAGGTGCAGCTGAGGTGATAATAGTCAAATGGGAGTTCATAATAGATACAGCTCTATATTAGATCATTAATGCAAAATAGCCCCTGAATTTGTGTGTGTTTTGTGCAACAGGTAAGAGCTGGTGCCTGCTAGGTGCAGAGCCTGGATAGCGTGGTGCACATGGACATGCTGTAGCAGGACACTGCACCTCTCCCCAGTGTCCCTTATGGTATAGCTGTCAGTGCTCTTCCACACTGCCTGCTGCTTTCTGCCAGGAGAGTTGAGAGCTGGGAGAAAGTCTTTGATCCTGCTCTCACAGTGCATCACTGATGTGGGCTTTTCCTCAGGCCTACACATGGAGTGTGTGTTTCCAGAAACCCCAAAGTACAGTGGAAATCCCCAGCTGTCACCTGCTGCAGTGGTCAACCACTCTGCATCTTTCTAGTGAGCACTTCACAGATAGTCATGCTTCACATCTTTGTTTCCTTGGCAGCCACCACATAGGAGTGGAAGTGCTGCCTGCTAAGACCCCTGTGCTTCTCCATTTCCTGATGGTGGTCATCCTCGAGCAGGCATTACTGTTTCACAGCTGGTGGAGCAGAAGGCACAAACACTCACAGTATTGATCTTTATTTGAATACAAAACATTCCCTGGCCATCCAGGATCAGCCAGTCCTAGTGCAAGAATACCAGGCAGAATCGTTTGCATTTAGGTAGCTGTCCTCTGAGTGATGCTCCAAACCTTTGTGCTAAAAATTATTCATTGTAGCTTTTTAAAATATAAAAAGTACTTGTATTCAGTAAGTGGTAAAATCAGTCCCCATCCTTCAATGGCTCAAGTTTGTCCAGTGTGAGTGTAAGCTATATAGCATTGTGTACACGTTTTGCCCTTTTCCCTCCCTAGTATCTTGGACTTCCAGTCGTGTGGCATGCCAGCCTCTCTAGACAGTACAGGTCTGCAGTTTTAGTAGGCTTTTAGTAGGTGTTTGATGGATGCTTTGGAATCAATCTGGGAGGCCTTTCATGGCCTGGGGCCCAGCTTAGCAGGGGCATGAACCCTCACCCTGTCTGTATGGGCATCATGCATGCTGTGTGTTCTGAGATCAGAGGGTAATGGAGCACAGAAAGTGATCACTGCAGTGAGCTAGGAGTTTGATTCCTGTCTGGAATGTTTCAGTAGGAATAAGTTATTGGTGGATATGAGGATTTTTAATTGTTAGCATTATGTTATCCTGTAACTCTTAAAAGCATTTTACTGTGAGCTTGTCTGTGCCAGCTTATTCCATGTGTTTTTATGACCGTGGAAAACATTCTCCCAATTTAGCAAATAATTGTATCAGTGTTGTACATGTCCTTGCCAAACAACCTGCACTTAAAGAATATAACTTTCAAAGTTGAAATATGACGTTGGATTATGCAAGTTTTTTTGGTTCCTGCATCATCTTTGTTCTCAGTAATTACAATTGCATCTTCTTTTTCCATCAAAGCTGCTTTATTTCCTTACAGCATCACCAGACTCCTGCTAGGTCCCAAACCAGTCTTTTGAGTCTATAAATTTCCTGGCAGTGCAAGAGTGGGGAATTGTTCTCAGCAGCTGATTCAGGAGAACTGATCCCATTATAAGTTTTGGTGGACTTGGGAGATTTGATACAGTGAGCTTCCATGACTCCCATGGGTGCTCTGTCAGCCTCGTTTGAGAGATGATGTGTGAATCTTTAGTAAAATAAATGCTAATGAACTCAAAAATAATGACTCAAAAAGCTTGTGCAATCATGGCAGAATTTTTTAAAGAGCCTTAATTTATTTTTGCAGGTTAACCAGCAGTTAAAAGAAATACGTGAATTTTGGGACACACAGGTTGCAATTTCAGCTTTTTAATAGAAGCAGTTGTTTCAAAAGCAAGCACAAATTGAGAGCAGTTGCACTGGGTTTACTGATGAAGTTAACACCGTGTGACAGAAAAGGTGGTAGACATCTTTGGAGCCAGGTAGAGGTGTTGTAAGAAGAGGTGATAATGTCATTAGTGTGCAGAGGACACATTTCTTGGTTGGCCATGCTTAAGAGTAAGAAAAGCTGTATAATGGCATCATGGAATTATTTCAGCTATTACAGAAAAAAAAGCAAAAAAACCAAAAAAGCCACCAAGCCCTCACTTTTTAAAGTATGTGATATTTATTATTTTTCTTTTGTAGTAGGTATAAATACTCATCAAATCCCTTATTTTCTGCTCTTTATTGATGTAAAACTTGCTGTGGTGCAGTTCCTATGTTTTCTTTATTTGAAAATCGTCTTTATCAAGATTTCAGAAGTGCAAGAGTCATGGTTGGTTGAAATTCATGATCTTTGAGTAGGTCAAAGCTATGTTCTCCCTCCTTATAATTTCTCTTACTCATACACAGTGAGAGTACATATTTTTCAATCTAGTACTAATCAATTCAGATACAATATTTGTATGTCCTGTGTTAAGTGGTGAGAACTTTCAAATATAGGTGTACCTACTTTCTACAGGTGTTTTTCAAGGAATATTGTAATTTTTCAAGAGTGGTATGAAATGAGCTGACTCAGGGTAGGTTCTTCAGCTTGCAGGGGGACCCTTACTGGGTGCCTTCTGGGTGTGAAGTGGTGGTGGTCCTGCAGGACGTTGCTTTTGAGTCTGAACATTTTACATATTAATGAATATGGCACTGTGGAAAAACAAAAAGCATGACTCCAGAGCTGCTGATAGGATGGCATCTGCTGTGAACAAACATCTGGGACTGGGAGGAAGACTGCTCTGCCTCAGAAGAATTAGGCTCTGTCTAGACTGGGGATTTGACCCGATTACAGCCATTACTGGCCGACAGAAACTCTCCACTGATTCAGCCTGTAGCAGAGATGGGCAGAGCTGCTGCTTGAGTGTGTGTGACTGGCCAAACGAGAGCTCTGCCTGATGGTGCACATGGGGGTTTGTACCTTGGTATTTGGGATTATCCTGCATAACTGCAGGGGAAAAAAAGTCATTTTCATAGCTACGTTTTGGTGAGTCCACAGAGACTATGGATGTGAAATAGAGGAAATGGATCTTTTGTAGTGTAAATGCAACTTAGAGCCAAAAAACCCCCATCTATCAATAAACTAGTCCAAGAAACAAATACTAATAAAGTTTTGCTACAGTCTGAGAGAGATGTAGCTGGCTTCAGTTCTGTAAGCCAGCTCATTGCCACGAGGGGATTTCACCATATTGAGATGATCTTGCAAACCAATAAAACAAGGGTTTTGTAGAAGTAATTCACCCTTCTAAGGTTTTTGAGTTAAAGTCGAAATAATTAAGTATTGCAGATGTATGAAGACCTGAAAAATTTTAAACTACTTAAGTAATACTAATTTCTCTTCAGTCTTGGTTAGTATTTGATGTTTATTTTCATTCAATACATACAACTTTAATATTTTCATTAACTTTTTTAGGAGACTTTGCAGCAGTTGATCATGATGTCTTTGCCAAATGTGTTAATAATTGGCAAAAACCCTTTTTCTGGTAAGTTTATTCTTAACTAAGATGAAAATTGTTATCGGTATAATAATTTGTGTTATTTCACTGGAAATAAAATCCATATAGGTTTGAGCCTTTCAACAGACTGCTGTGTAAATACTTATAGCAAACAAGTGGTTTCATAATAAGTAACATTTTCTTTGTTCACACCAGAGGTCCACACTTTACAGAAATGTGTTCTGTCCCAAGGCCAGCACTGGCTGTCATGAGGATTTACACTGAGATGAAGTGCATTTCCCAGCAACCAGTGAGCTACTGATAGGACACAGTATAAGATTCATGTAGTCCCAGCTACTATGCTTTCAACCCTCTCTACCTAAGCCAACCCTAAGAAAATGGGCAGTTCAGTGCATCTCATTTGATCCAACTCCTAATCCTTGTGTTTCCTTCCCCAAAAGTCTCCCGCTTCTCTTGCATCGTTACCTGAAAAATATTGCAATTACCTTCTTGCTTTCTCCCCTGAACTGACAGTGTCTTCTCCATGCTCCCACCTTCTCTGCTTCCAGCTCTGAGAGTTGCAATTTTCAGACCAAGAAAATTAGCCTGTGTGGACCCAGCTGACTATCCACAGCCACTTGGGAATCTCTGCACCATGCTCTCAATTCCAGAAGCACGGAGCAGACACACCTGGCCTGCATGGAGCCACTATGGATTGGGCAGAATTTGTTTGCTTGGGTCTAGTGTGTCCCAGGTGTTCTACTTCTGATGTTCTAGCACCTCAGCAGAGAGGTTAGGAACTTCTCTAACAGGCTGTGTAGCTTCCCCTGGCTGTTTTTATTTCATTAAGATGTCTTACATGCCATGCTTCTGTGTATGTGAGGCAAGATTTTCCTCATGAGCAAGAAGAACCATCTGTGTTACCTCACTTTTCAATTCCAGGGTTCATAACATTGATCCTTGCCATATCCCATCTGCATATATCCCATTTATGTAGGTATCTTGATTTCAGTTCTTTGATTTTTACTTTCTGCTTTGGAATATTGCTGCTTTTGCTTCTGAGGTCACAGCCTTTTAAGTTTCTCTCTGTGTAGATGCTGTCATATGCACCAAGAAGTGTGAGTGTGGTCTCTCCTTTTCAAAAAGAATAAAATGTATTGTGCTTTTATGCTTGGATTCCAGCCTTTCTTAAGGTTTTCAGAAGACTCCATGGATTTGCCTAGATACCAGATTTAGTGGAAAAACAGATTTTAAAAAAAGGGTCATAACAATGGTTTTGTAGTGATGTTTTTTATGTAAGGTATTGAGACAAAATACAGGTTAACAATATTGTGTAGTGTAAGATGAAAACTTGTTAAAAATGCACTAAAAAAACACCACAAAGATAATTTAGTATTCATTTGTATACATAAAAAAAATCTATTCTTTGGTCATTAATAAGAAAGCCTCTTCCTGTTTGAGACCTCAGCTAAGTCTGTGCAGCATTTGTGGTTTGGCAGCTGGAACCTCTGGTGGTGTATGCACTGCTCTCCTCTGGGGATGTGACTGGATTTGTGAGGAAAATATGGACTTCACTGTAGCATAGCCCAGATACTAAAAGTATTTGTTATCCATGGACAGTGTTCTTGAAGACGTTTCAGATTCCTGCTTGTGATGATTGTGGAATTGATTTACTGAATTAATTGAGCTGAATCAGAAGATAGACCTGTCTTCTGGATTTCATCCAGAACCTTTCCCTTTGAAAGCTTGACTGCTCTTGCAGTGTCACCTTGAAGAGGACCCCATCCATCCCTATAGGGATCTTTAAACTTTATTTTTCCTTTGGTGGTCAAGTGTAGCAAAATCAAACCTCTCTGACCATTTGAGAGACTTGCTGTGTAAGTATGATTGCATCAAGGTGAGCTCCCATAGTAAAAGCCAATTGTCTGAGGATGAGTCAGGTTTGGTCCCCTAAAGCTTAGGCTGTAGCTGTGATTTTTTTCAGAAACACCTCCCAGTTTTTCCCGTTTGCACTGTTTTGCAAGGACTGATGAGTAGAGAAATACTAGAAGATGACAAATTGCAGAAGGCAAGGGCAGATAAGATTTCAGGAAAAGAAACATGTTTGTATCAGAGGCAGTTGGCTAATCAAGGAAAACGCAGATAGAATGCCTGTAAAAAAAAAAAAAAGGTCATCAGAGACTTTATCAAGAAACATTTCACTTGAGCTAATTGGCAGGAAGCCAGTTTGAGGAGAAAACTGGAGGAGAAGAGCTACAGGCTGTGATTGTGCATGTTAAGTTAAATTACAGAGGAAAAGGAAAGAGGAGATAATGATGAGGCAAATGTTCTTTAATGGGTGGGGGGAAGAAAAGATTAAAAGAAGTTTGTATTTCTGAGGGAGCAAGCAGAGGAGGGTGGAAGGCTACAGAGGATGTGGAAGTCAGGGATAAGACTGAGTGCAGGGAAGATCAAAGGGTAGAACAGGGTTGGGAGCAAGTTCAAGCAGCAAGTCGAGAGGGTGCAGAAGAGAATGATCTATTTCTGTATTCCTGATGCAGAAAAAGGAGGAAAACCACAGAACATGTTTGGTAGCAGTGGGAAGCTGAGGTTGTTCAATATTTTGCCATGTTCCTTCAGGGAATGTGAGCAAGAGACAGAAACAGTATTCAGTCAGAGTTGTAAAAGCCAGTTTTGATCCTGAAGCAGTGTGAAAAGGAGCATCCAAAGAGGAGTTCAGGGATTACTTTTTTCAAAAAAAAACGTTATTAATTTATTGGGCTAAATGCATGTATGATGTGAGATGCTGGGATGGATTCCTTCTCTACAGTATTCTGGTCAACCTTTATTGATTAAGACAGGCAGCCAGGTGGCATTCCCCTTCTGTAGCTGAAGTAGTGTGCTTCTGGTAAAACATGGTCATTGATGTTTTCTATGCTAGACTTCACAGCTCACATCCTTGGGATACAAGAAGTCTGTATAAATAATTCAGCATCTCCTGTTTGAGTTCATGTTTTTTGTAATATGTCTGTTTGACAAACCTCTTTTGAAAAATTTAAACATGACATGTTCATTGGGATTATATATACCTCCTCCTAAAAGAAGCAGGTTGAGTCAATGTTGAGAGAAGGCTCTCAATATTGTAATGCAGAGAACTTCCAAAGTCATGAGGAAGGTGGAGAAGCTTGGCATCTTCCTTCTCTGCTTTATGGCAGCAGGCTTGGCTGCTGAAAGCTAGTCAAAAATCATTAAGAGTCCTGTATCCTTTCAGGGTTGTTGATTTCTTTTTAATTTCCTTTTTTGATCAAGATTACCTAATATCTGTTACTTCTTTGAGAAGGATTTTACATTTGCTTTGCTTACACAATACTGTGGTGGATCCGATCAAATAAGAAATTTTTGACTGCTTATAAGTGGTTACATCTTTCTTATGTGGGGATTCATCCATTCTAGCTAGCCTGAACTGTTTTGCCACTCTTAAAGTATTTGCTTTATGGTGTTTAAATTCTAGATAATAGCATGTGTTTAGTACCAGGACAAGAACATTTTGAGTGTAAAAAAAAGTGAAATACATCTTTACTACTGTGAAGAGTTCTTTGAGCTTCTTTAGGAGATTAAGATGCTTATGGTCAGATTTGGAAATACATGGTTATTTAGACCTGCAGTGGAATATCTAATGTAGCTTTTTAAAATAATTGAACTTGTCACCTAGCTCCTACAGCTTGGGGGTGGAAAAGAATTTAAGCACTTCTGTAAATATCTTGAGATACCTGAGGTTATAGTTGAAAACTTGATTGTAGGTCTCCAAAGTGCTTTGGAAAATGTCACTCAAGTTTTGCTTCACAAAGGGCTGGAGTGTTTTTACCCTATGAAGCTATTAGGGCTGTTAAGCTGTTTGTTAATGCTGGCAGTTGGCAGTTAAATGGCAAAAAAGACTAAGTTGAAAGCTAGAAAGATGAAGTTTTCTTCATCTTTTTCTTTTCTAAACTAGGTTGACATAAGTCATATTAAAATAACTAGAAAACCTGATCTTTGCTGAGGAGTAAGGGAAGAAAAATGACCATTTTCTACCTACTCTTTTTGTTGTTGTTGTTTTCTCCTTAGAGCCAGGTACTGAAGAAATAAAAAAACTCCTCCTGCTCTTACTTGGTTGTGCAGTTCAGGTAAGTTTTAAACCATTCAATACCAATGCAAACATATTTAAGTGTCACCTATCTCTTTTCTTACTATTTTAATACCTGAGGTTGTATGTAAATTTGTCCTTCCTCTAGTGGTACTACTGCATTCTTTGAAAAATCTGGGTATTCTGAGGAGTAAAAAGTCTGTAACTGTGCACCTCTTATGTTTTATTGCCTATTAGTTTATTAGCAAACTGTGTATTTAGGATTTCTAATAGTTCAGAATATTGTTAATACTCTAAAGAAATGAAGAAAATGGTAGAGTGCTGAAGAATTGCTTTACTCATGTATCTTACTGAAGTTATTTCACATATTTAATAAACTGTTTTGGTGTACTGCTGTTCTTAGAAGGGGCATTTGTGCTATTTACCTAATTAAACAAAAAAAAAATAGGTTAGTCATATCTTTTTAACTTAAATTGGCAACTGGAGAAAGAGAGGTGGACACTGAAAAAATACCTGTTGGAACTCATTGTCATAAAATTTTAATAAGTAGCTACTGGGAAAATGTTACTAGCAATGAAAGTCTTTATAATTAATGTGGCATAAACCAACTGCTTAGTAGTCAACAAAATTGTTGGATAATGAAGTGATTATTGTCATTTCAATTTTATCATTTTAGCTTAGAAATGCAAAGGTAGAATTAAAATATTGCTGATTTTACATATATGTGTATAAAATACATATACACATTCTTCATATTTATATAAATATGAAAAAATTAAATATGTATAATTAATGTGGCATAAACCAACTGCTTAGTAGTCAACAAAATTGTTGGATAATGAAGTGATTATTGTCATTTCAATTTTATCATTTTAGCTTAGAAATGCAAAGGTAGAATTAAAATATTGCTGATTTTACATATATGTGTATAAAATACATATACACATTCTTCATATTTATATAAATATGAAAAAATTAAATATGTAATTATATGTATATTTGTTTATATATGTATGTATATGTTTATATATGTGTGTATAAAATAGATATCTTTGGTTTTAGTGTCAGAAAAAAGAAGAATTTATTGAAAGGATCCAAGGCCTGGACTTTGACACAAGAGCAGCAGTTGCAGCCCATATTCAAGAGGTATGTTGCTATTTTTGTGCTTTTAATTTTTTGGAAGCAGAATATTGTATTGTAAAAAGATTAAGTTTGTTTGTTCAAAACCAAGTTCAACAAATTTGTGTTTTGTATATCTAATGGTTTTAGTAAGCAAAAAAAAAAAAAAGCCTTTATTTTTAACAGTTCATGAAAAGATTTCATTATAAGCTCTTTTGGATTACATTGTTAAAGCAGTAGCAGGGAGGAAGCATGTTCCTCCAACAGTTCTTTACAATTGCAGTAAGTCCAGTGCAGTGAAATACTCATATGCAGACTGATTTATAAACCAATATATATGTTACATATCATATACGTGGGATTTAAATTATGTCATAGTCGAATTTTACCCCTAAATTTTCAGCCTTATTTTCCTTATGCTTCCTTTGTACTCTTACAGTTTAAAGGGATTGTTTAATTTCGTTCTATGTAGGTAACCCATAATCAGGAGAATGTTTTTGACCTGCAGTGGATGGATGTCATTGTATTGACACAAGAGTATGTTGAACCTCTTTTGAAAAATATGGCATTACACTTAAAGAGACTTATAGATGAAAGAGATGAGCACTCAGAGGTATGGATGTGGCTTGTGGCTCAAGAGAAATATAAGAAATAGTGTTTTTTAAGATGCTGTAGCTTATCATTTTTATAACTAATATTTAAGGTGTGTTCTGTTTGCATATTTAACCACGGATTCTTTACTGCCAGAAAGTTGTTTCAGGTAGTTACAGCACACATACTAGCTGTTGAATACTGTGACAGTGAGAAAATATAACAGCAGATGGTCTTTTTCATGAAACCAGAGTCTGAAACAACTTCAACATTCATCTGTAGTTGAAAACAGAAAATCCAAAGCTGTATCAGCTGAAATTTCCAGGATTCAGTAATCCATTGATTTGCAAGCCAGTCACTGAAAGGTGCCTGTTATATTCCTGTATCCTGTTGTACAGCTTGGAGTGAACTGGAGCAAAATCTGTGTTAGGAGAGGAGGGTTTACAAGCTTGTCGTGAGGCACAATCTTTTTTACAGAAATGTATTTAATAAAAATTGTGAGTTATGAATCATCTCGGTGGTTTCAGATTTGCCCCTCAGCAGAGTGTGGAAATGTTAATGTTGCAATCATTCCAGATATTCCTTTCACACTCAAACTCTTTCCAGTTCACAGCCTTGATAAGAGTGAAACAGAAACTGAACCATGAGGGGAGAGGTTGTGTGATAAAGCTTTTTTGCAACGCAAAGGAAAAGTAACTTCACAATACAAGAGATATTCTTTGTAAGACAATAGCTTTATTTATGTGATGAAATAGGGATATTCCAGGAAGCCTGGTGTTTTATGGAGCTGGCAAGGGTGCTGCTGCTTACTGAAGAACACCACTTTCTGTAGAGATAGATATTTATCCTCATATTCAAGTAATTTATGCCCTTCCATGACCCAGTCCATTCTGAGCACTGATAGCTATATGGACTAAAAAATATAAATTTGAGTGGAATAGCTGAACAATACTGCTAAATAGCTGTGACTATTTGCTTTGGGTATACAGGGGTATTAAGGGCTTCTGACTTCTTTCATGGCAAGGCTTTTCCATTATTCTTGCTTCAGTTCAGTCTTTGATCTCTTAAGACAGTGCCTGATAGTAGTCCCTGACATAAATTCAGTTCTCTGAATGCAATTCTAGACTTTTTTTTTTCCCCATCTCTTTTTTTTTCTCTTTTTTAATTTCTCAGACCATCATAGAGCTCTCAGAAGAACGGGACTGTCTCCGATTCCTACCTCACGCCTCGGCAGCACAATCACCCTGTGGGTCTCCTGGCATGAAGCGCACTGAGAGCAGACAGCACCTGTCAGTGGAGCTGGCAGATGCCAAAGCAAAGATCAGGCGGCTTAGGCAAGAGCTGTGAGTACATGGGGAGTGCAGAAGTGTGTCAAGAGTCAGAGGGCTTTAAAATCCTGTTGGTTTTACAATAGTATTCCTCTCTAGAACAATTCTTCGTGTTTTTCATGTTAGATGACAGCTGTTAATGCTTTTTTTGAAGTAACTGCACCCCAGGAAGGATTTTTTTATAATGGAGGCATATTTGTGGACCAGTGTGACAAATACTTTTCATCTGTTTGTCTTTACTTGTATTACAAATTATATTGATGTTTTAACCATAAACGTACTGAAATCAGTGAACTAGTGCTGTGGTAATTTTCTGTCTTTTGTTCTCTGCACTTTCTACCTTCTGTTAGAGCAATCTCTTGAGCATAGCACAGTGCAGTATTGGTCTCTCTGCTCTACATAAATTACTTTTAGAAATACAGCTAATCTAATGCAGCATTGCCTTTTTTTCACTTTTTGTTCATATTGTTTCAGAGGCAAATTCTTTGTGCTTCATCTACTGTTCATTATCATTGATGGATGTCTGACTGTAGTTTTAATATCTCTGTAATTGTTTCTAAGAGAATAACTTTGCAGCTGAGGCAGTTGGGATAGACAGGTGGGGGCTGGAACCAGGAGCCGTGTCCTGACCATTCAAGGATTAGTGGCAAAGTTTACTTTTGGTTGTGAATCTCTTGGTACACGTTCATGTCTATTGTCTGTGGATTTTTTAAAGGAAAAAAACCCTTATTCCCCCAAAAATCCTTTATAACATTGTAATGTTTCTCTGCCTCACCTAAGCAGGAAATCTTAGTGAGCAGCAATTTAAATAGCTCTGAAAAATCTGACCAAATGTAAAAGATCAGGTATGGATTAAAAACTAGAGAGTATCTAAAGCATAATGGCATACCTGAGTTTTACACTCTAATGCCCATGAAATTCTAGATTAAAGGAGGAAGATACTTACAGGATCCTCATTGTCTAGGAACAGGTCTGAGCAGTAGTGAGGAGTTTATAAAGAGAACAGTAAGTCCAGTGAAGAATCTTTTTCTCCCTATGGCAATGTGTAATGTCTGAACATAAAATACAAATTTTAAATTCGAAGTAATTTCAATATCTATAGTAATTTGTCTACACTTTAGAAACAGCATAAATAAAGGGTATTTTTAAGTCAGTATATCTCATCAAGAGAGGAGACAACTAAGATTAAATTAAAAGTTCAAGGTAGCATAAGTCACAGTTATCAGCTCACTGGTCTGCTCTTTATCAGTCTGTTGATCAGATCATCTCTAGCTGGCTGGCTTAAATATCTGGTTGATTTACTCAGAGGATCCCCTTCCCCCACCACATCTTGGTCTTCATGAAGAGCAGAGGACAAAAAGATATGGCTCTTTTTTTCTGATGTCTGTATTATTATGTGTCTGTGAAGTGAGCCCGCCCAGGATATTCTATAAACAGCTGCACCAAGAAAATTAGTGAAAAAATTGCTGTTATTAGTTTGATTGACAGTTAATAGATAGCCTAAACAGTGAACACTGGTATGTTCTGTATAATTTAGTACAATCCTCTCTAGGCTGTAGCTGAAGCATGCAATTAGGGCAACAGTGATGGCTCAGAACATTTCACATTTTGCACTCTATTTGAATTCAATTTGTAAATAAATTTCCTTTATGTGTAGCAGTATATTTAAAATACTAGAGTTTGATAAATTAACTTCTGTCTGTAGCATTTGCTATTAAATGCTGCTTATGTTTGATAAATTTAAAATTGGATTCATTTGAGAGTTGAAAATATTCAGCTTAACGTTTATTTATGATCTGCTTTTGGCAATGAACCTTCATACCTGGTTTAATATGCACTGCAGCTGATCTAATTTCATCCAGAGGGTCTGTAAAGATTATTTTTCAACTGGCTGCAAAACAGTGATTTGAGGCTTGTAATATAGAAACTCCAGAACTAGAAATTGCACACCTGATTTTCTGTGTGAAGTCCTCTGTGTGTTTCTGTGTGGAACCATAGTATAGGTATGTGCAGATTAATAGAAGAGTTCCTGTAATCCAGCATAATACAGAATTACATTTCTATTTCTGCATGGTTTCTCAACACCTCTATAGGGGGAAGCTCTCATGTTTGCTGTGAACAGTAATGCTGCAGTGGGCTCCACAGAGATGAACCCTTTTACACTTGCAGGCTCTCAACAACCTATTTGAAACAAAGAATGGGTGCAAAAAGGTCACTTATTGTGAGATTGGCTCATTTTTAAAAACAACTGGTGTAGTTAGGTTTAAAATTTTTGTATTACCTATTTCAGTTCACTAAATTACCTTGTTTCCACCTTCTTTACTTCTGTCTTGCTTCATACTTATATTAAAAAATACAGTAGAAAGTTAAGATTGAGTCCTGTAATCAATGTAGTTTTCCATGTAAAACTATTTTTATTACACATTTGTGAATAGACTAAAGCAGACACCATGGTGTTTGCATAAAAGAAAATTTCATCATGCATTTCTTAAAGTTATTGAAGTTAAGTGGTGTCATCTTCTAATGAGTAAAGGCACCTGAAATCCTTAATCCTTTTCTATAAGAAAAAGAAAAATTACAAAAGTATAAAAATAATTTTAAAATTGGCTTTAACTGATGTGTGACAGGATGCACTGGTGATCATTGTCTAGTTCTCCTAGAAAACATTTGGACTTTTTGAATGGATCTTCTGAAATTATTCTAAGTTTACTTTTGGATGTGAATCTGGTACACAATCATTTGTATTGTCTGGGTTTTTTTACCAAAAAAATACCCTTATAACCAAAAATCCCTTATTATGTTGTAATGTTTTCTGCCTCCAATAAGTAGGAAATCTTAGTGAACAGCATTTTAAAGGAGTATTAAAAATCTGACCAAATGTAAAAGATTAGATGTGGACTAAAACCTAGAGAGTATCTAAAGCATAATGGCATACCTGAGTTTTACACTCTCATCTCCATGAAATTCTGGATTAAAGGAGGGAAGCCTTACAAATCTCAGTATTTTGTTCTAAAACAAGATGATATTACCAAGTTTTGCAGACATATTTAACTGTTTTGTGTTCCCTCTTATAAGGGAGGAGAAGACTGAGCAGTTGCTTGACTGTAAACAAGAACTTGAACAGATGGAAGCTGAACTAAAGAGGCTTCAGCAAGAGGTATGGGTTTTGTAAATCTTGTGTAACAGAAAAGCAGGCAAAAAAAGGTTGCCACCACCACAATGATTCTCCTCCCTTTTTTTTAATTAGGAAGTATGTTTTCAAGCATTTATTTTTTAATTATGTGGCCTGAATATGGTATTTATTCCTTTATTTGGTATAGGGTGCTGGAACAATATTCTGAGTTAGGTTACTATTTCTTCTCTGATTTTTTTGTTGTTGTTTCCATGTTCAGGGAATTTCCCACCAACATATCCCATCAGTGTATATGTGCTGAATATTTCTGGTAAACAATCTGATATGCTTTTTATTAGGGTATGAGTATATAAAATTATTTGTTGGGGTTTGAGGATATTATGCATAAAAGACCTGTGCTGTTCTGAAGTTCAGAAATCTCTACATACCTCTCCTTGAAAAAGGCCAGTGCAGTTCTGTTAGAGGCTCAGTCCAGATGATGTGTTTCTAAAACACATTTTTTTTTCCCCATTACCTTCCTCAGAATTAACTCATTACCTCGGCATCACCCTGAGGTAAATAGTGGGGCATCTGTGTCATCCTGTGTCAAGTGTCGAGTTTTGCACTTGGGG